ATATCCTCTCCCTTCTTTTCTTTTCTCCTTAATCTTTTCACTTAATGCCAATTAATTTCTTATTATAGAACATTGTTGTTTTTGTCTAACAGTCATGAAAAAAAATTTAATCAAAAATAGAAAGGGTGAAAACACACTTTTAAGGAAATTGATTTTATTAATTTACAAAATTGTTTCTAATAAAAGTATTTTTTATCTTTTTTACAAAAACAGTTGAACTGAATTAAAGTTGGTTCATATCATGTCCCGTTTAGAATGTATCTATCTAATGAATATTGGGTTATATTTGAGCTCCCCTAAAGACGTATTGTTATTTATTCAAATAAACAAGACATGTTCTAGAGCTATTCAGTCGTTAAAAAAGAATCCTGTACTATTTTTTAAATATTCAAAACAAGATTATAGAGAGAAAGCATTAGTGACAACAAAAACAATTCGAATATATCCAAATATTGAAACTCTTGGAATAGAACTTCAAACCCTTAGATTTTGCTCAAAAGAAATTTTTTGTATAAAAAATTATCAAATAATTGCTAAAGGAATTCTTGAAGAAATTGATTTTATAAATTTAGAGAAGATTCAATCAAGAATTGTTTGGTATAAAGGTAATAGTGAAGGAATCAATAATAAAATGAATAATTTAAGATCTATGATTCTTACTGATTGTGTTCACTTGAAAAGAATCCTTTGTAGCGTTCAGTTTCTTAGGAAATTAGAAAAAGTGCAAATTAGATGTGAGAAAAGAGAGGCTTGTGATGTAATTTCTATGGTTGAAAACTTATATCAAGATGTGATGGTAATTGTTAAACAAGCAAGTAAAGACCTAAAAGGACGAGTAAACATTTGTGGTTGTGGTGTTCTTGGTAATGGAAAAGATCTAATAAATTTATTAGATGAGTCTCATTATTATCAATTTAATGAAAAGGCATTAAAACTAAAGAATATAAAAATTATCCAATCATTATATCTTCCTCTTAATTTGTCTTTTCATGGAACGCATGAATTAAATGATGAAATTAATGCAGACCTCACAGTCCTTACTAATTTGATTCGACTTCAACTATTCTATATTCAAGGAATTATTAATCTACCAAAGACTTTACAAGTTTTTATTGTAAAGTCAAGTAATATTCAAATCAGTAATATCCAATCTTGCAGTCTTAAGAGCCTTGTGATTGAAAGGTCAACTTGTCCATTCCCATTTTCTCTTCCATCAACTATCACGTCTTTACATCTTAGTGATATACAAATTCAAACTATTTCAAACTTTGATGAATTACCACTTATTGATTTATCACTTATTAATTGTAGATCACAGAACTCATTAAATTTACCTACTACTCTTCGTTCTTTAGAATTAGACTCATGCCCATTTCCTATTAATATTAATGATGAAGTTAATGTACTTATTTTAGACAATTTTAACATTATTTCTCAATTTCATTTTCCCCATTCTTTAACTAGACTTGAATTAGGAAGTGCAAGAGAATTTACACCTGAACTCTCTCGCTGCCATTTGAAAGATTTAAAACTATTTGATTGTGAAAATGTTCCATTGTCACTTATTCCTGTTTCTGTTACTTCATTTGGTATTTATGACTCTTTACATCTTCCAAAAAAACTTGATTTATGTGACTTTTTCTTCATATCAATAGAAATATCATTATGTCCAACTATTCAATCTATTTCATTTCCTTCTTCAATTTGTTCGATTTATCTTGAGTCATGTCGTGGACTAACATCAATAAGCCTTTCAAATTCTCTACAACTCACACAACTTTCTTTAGTTGATTGCACCTCACTTACTCGTCTGAACGATATTCCAACATCAGTTCAATCTCTCTATTTCTCAAAATGTCATTCATTAACTGAAATCAAAGATTTAGATCAATTGCCGTTGTTACCTCAATTTATAAAAGATAAGTGTCATAAAATATTCAGTTGTAATATAGAAAAAGATGGTCAGTCATTCTCATGTTCGCAATCAGAGCAATAATCTTTATATTAGATAGTTTTGTTTTCTATAAGAGTTTTGGTTTGTTTTTTTAACAAATAAAATACATTTAAAAATA